AAGTAAAGAATATTGAAGAATAAAATATGTTGATCCTAATTGGCGTCATTGCTGATAGTCATTTACAAAGGTCACTGAATTGAAAAATGATACAAGTAAACTGTATAAAGTTCGAACAAGAACCACATGATTGGTGCTACTACAACATAATTTAATGATAATAAATTAGAAGTAAAGCAATTGTGTGTATACACAAACACACGTGGAGAAAGAACGAAAGCATAATATACAGTAAATAAGTTACTCACGTTCTTAGCTGCCATATGAGTAGCACAAATATAAAAACTGAAGAGAGGTCGATATGTAAAAACGTGACTACTTGAAATATCACGTTACATAACAAATGAAAACTGGGTTTTTTCACCTTAATTTACTTCATGTTAACAAAAGATACCTGCAAATTATTCCCTTGCTTTAGGAGACAGTGATAAAAAAGGTTCTGAAAATCTAGTGATAAACTGAAAATGATAACACTAACCCTTGGTAACTCTGACTCATTCACAATCTACTATGAATCGGCTGTATTTTTCTGGTGTTGCTCAGCTGTAACGTAGACACCACAATGAACTAAAATCTTGTCATCGGTTTTTGAAGGTATTCACTTGACAAGAATATAGAACTTGTATGTAATTGTACCTTATTTTCATTTCATAATTGTTGGTGATGAAAACTACTTACTTATATGAAATGTATAAGTAGATAAGTGTGTCATGAATTACGGACAGATTTTACCCTTCATTTTTGAACAATTCATGACTGGGAAAATTATCAACTCTTAAACTGTAGAGTGAACAGTGATTTTCTAATCCAGTTAGTGGAGTTTGCAGAAGTTTCAGCTCCAAGTATACTGTAATTATATCAGACTCATGGGAAAGAAGCAAATGAGGGGAAAAGTCTATTTGAAAAATCAATGCAGTTTGATGCAATGTCATGCTGATAAATCAGCTTGAGACGTACATAACAATGTCACCTGCTTAGGTAATAGAAGTACAAGGTGACTTCAGAGATGAACTTTATCCATTGGTTCTTATCAATGACCAATCTTCAAAACCTAGAACTTGACGGTATGTTTAGTTTACTTGCTTATTGGTCCACTGATTTCTGTGTTGTACCTGATAATTGGTCTATAGGCTGCTGAACAAATATAAATGTGAAACGTTCATATCTGTCGAGTAAAATGAACAGTTCTGATACATGGATTAAATATTTGTTAGTAGTTTTTAGTGATAACGATTAGGGTAAATACACATACATATGCATGAACTGTTATTGGATCATACAATCTTCCTTAAAACTCTACTGGACTTTGTTTGCTGATTTATGGGGCCCCAGTAATCTCTTCGTGGCTTTGTTTCTCAAATTTCAATTTCACCTTGATTTGATAAATTCATGTTCAATAATTAAGTGGAAACTGTAAACAGACACTTCAAGATATTAAGTTATTCGTTTTACTTCTACCGACAGTATTTCACTACTGGCATGTTTCTCAGTCTAAATAAACTTTACAAGGTCGCCTCTTTGATGATTTCACCTCCGATCCTAAAGTTCTAAAAACAATCTATTGTCAAGCATTTATTATATTTATTATTAGTCCGTTGGGTTCCTAGTGGAACATAGGGCTTCAGTAGCACGTCTCCAGTGACCTCTGTTCTCTGAGATCTTTTCAACCTGGTTCCACGACAACCCAGAAGCTCTCATTTCCTCCTCGCACGACCTCCTCCATGTCACCCTCAGCTGGAAAGTCCAACTCGTCGCTTCCCATGGGGATTCCACTCGAGTAACTGGCTTGACGCGTGATGTCCTCAGTAAGCCTTCTCAGTGCATGCCCAATCCATCTCCACTTCCTCCTGCATATTTGTTGCATGATAGGTTCTTGGTTGGTTCGTTCCCAGAGTTCCTTGTTGCTTATTCTTTCTGCCCATCTGATCTTCAGTAACGAGCCAGAGTAAGCAGTTGTTGATGAATGTGTGCAGTTTATTGGAAATCCCTTTCGTGACGCGCCAAGTCTCTGAACCATACAGAAGCACTGACTTGACGTTGGTGTTGAAAATCCGTATCTTGTTCCGCATGCTGAGTGCAGAACATCTCCACACTGGTTTCAGGCTAATGAACGCCTGTCTTGCTTTTCCGATTCTGACTTTGACGTCCTCGTCCGTCCCTCCTGTAGTTGAAACAGTGCTTCCTAGATAAGTGAAGGAGGTTACCTCCTTCAAGTTTCTCCCGTTGATGGTGATTGGAGTTTGTTGTTGTTGTTGATGGTGGTGGTGCGGTATCTTCATCACCTCTGTCTTCTCTATATTCACTTGAAGTCCTGTCTTCGCTGCCCTGCCTCTTCTGCCAACTTGTTAGTTTTCGCCTGTAGATCATCAAGTTTGTGTGACATCAGATACAAGTCATCGGCGAAATCCAAGTCTTCTAGGTTCTTTTTCGCAGTCCAGCGTATCCCCCTCTTTTCGCTGCCCACTGTTTGCTGCATGATCCAGTCCACCACAATAAGGAATATCATGGGGGATAGTAGGCAACCTTGTTTCACTCCTGTCTTCACTTCAAAATCATCACTGAGCTTCCCATTGTGAATCTCTTGGCTGGCATGTGGCGTCTTCATATAGTTGTTGAATGAGGCGGATTGTCAAGCATGCCCCTAAATAACTATTTTATTACTTCAAAATCTTTAAAGAATCCATTTTTAATCCTACATAATCTAATGATCATATGCAGCAATAACTAAACCATATATAATCTAGTATAACAATATGTAAGGCTCCAAGTTTGTATATATGCATTCTGATGAATGTAAGGTTTATATTGTGAATTGATCCAATCACTTACAACACAACTCTACTGATCTTTGTTATCTGTTTATCCGAGAAGCCTATTCCTCATGATCTTGCATTTAAAAGATAGTCTCATTAAAGTGTTTCTTCTGGTACACCATTTGTTAAAGTCACTTACAAATCTTTAAGTTGACTTACTTTTGCTTTGGTACTCTTTGATGGATCTATTAACATTGTCATACCTTTTTTAACAGTGTTGTTTGTTTTATGACAGCTGACTGTTGAATATAGAATTTGAACTTTGACGTGGTTACGCCAATCTCATGAGTCCCAAGTAGGATGAAACCAGAGTCCGTATCTTTGCTGGTTGCTTGAAGTTATATTACTTTTGGTTTACTTTCAAGCCTAGTGTGCTTAATCAGCGTAATATATTATCCGAAAAACTACAGCTCATCACTCTTCTGATTCAATATGATTTTTAAAAAGGTTTCTGTTGTTTAGATCTAGCTGCACAATGGACAAATTTAGTTTCGGCTGGTAGTAGTAAGTCATTTACTTCAAAAGACTTTCATACTCCTTCCAAAGATACCATGATAAATTGTGAACTTTAAATTTCCTAGTGAAAATTCTTCCATAAAGTAAAAATATCTAAGATACCACCATCACTTATGAGTAATATGCAAAGTGATAACCAATATTACCTTATCAGTTCACTCTAGACACCTAACTACATCCTAAGTAATATAGAACATCAGTTTCCTAGACGTATATCTGGTTACTTCAGCTTTGTGATTTCAATATTTTCAAGAGTTTGATTTGTGTGACTACCATTTACTTACATCACTCAGTAGTTGACCTGAAACGAGAATCGGTTTAATGAAGTCCAAACTGTGAAGTATATGAAGATTTCTATGTCACTGAGATGGCTTTAAATTTTCAGTTTATTCTTAACAGATACTCTGAATTTACGGAAAGAAAGTTGACCGACAACTGCTATTTCCCTCGTTCATTTTTAGTAGAGTGCTTCAAAGTTCTTTTTCTCATCAGATTAGTTCTAAATGCTTACTCACACCGTCAGTAAGTTATCATATACATCTGTTGTAATGATGCTTATAAATTCCCGTTGCTATACGGGCCGAAATGCCTGACTTCTGTTTGCAGATAAGCTCCTAAGCAGATGCTTCGATACTGCTGGGTATTCATGATTTGATATTGATCTTGGTGACTAGAAGAGGAGTCTAGGATGTGCGTTTTGTATTATTTGGGACTGGTTAATTGGAGGTACCTGCAGTAAGCCAGTGGAGCACGAAAACACTCTGGGATTTAAAGCGGAGGGTACAGGGTTTGAGCTTCAGTGGGAACAACATTATTCACCTGGGTGCAGGTACATCGAACTGACGGCTCTGAAATAGGATGAAATGCGCGTCCTGGATTTCTCCGCTACTCACTAAGATCAATGTAACAACATGTACGCTTCTTATGGCTACCAAAGACCTTGAGTATATAGGTTGTAGAGTGACTGCTTCCAAACGTCCTGAAAGTAAATCTTCGATAAGCTTGATAGACTAAATTTTTAATTTTCAATGACATTTCACTGAAAAAATTAAAGGTGTATTTCACCAGTTGTTACATTTCGAATTTTCAATAACCATTTACGTGTTCAAAGTCTTGTAAGTGGTTAGCAGTCCGAACTTGTAGACCACAGAAAGAAACTTTGTAGTCTAAAGAAAATATCACAGTACAACAGCGTTATTCTCACTGCTTGAAATGACCCCAGTTGAGTCAAGAACAGAAGTTAGAGCGCATATGATCAACTGTGATTCTGTAACTGAAGAGCAATAAAGTGTACTGATATACTGCTTTTCCGTAGTTTACGTTTGTTGAACTCAATCAATTCTTTCATTCCGTAACATAAGATATAATGAGAAAGTTAATAACTATTCATTATTAAAATGGATGGAACAGAGTACTATCTACAATTAGTACTCAGCAATCCATAGAAAAAGAATGAATAAATATCATAGTATATTTCTGGCTTGCAAGAAACCTTGTTTTTAACAAAGCATCAAGAAAATAAGCGAAATGGGGAAGAAAATTATAGAGCAGAGGAAAACACCCACCATATTCATTTACAGCTACAAAATTCAAGTCTGACTCAAGTCTACCTTAAAGACCAGATTTTATGCCAAAAATCTAACATTACATATGGTTATCATTTAAATTTAATTAGAAGCATTTACGATGTACAATACCTGGACCAGATTCATCATATTCATGTTTTGTTATCCACATCTGATTGAATGTCGACAATGAGGCTAATATAGACCCACCAATCCACACAGAGTATTTACGTTCAGGCGGTGCAACTATTTTAATTTTCATTGTTGGTGGAGCGAGATGAGAAATCTCTTTCTGCACACGATCTGAAATGCCTGGGAACATTGTTGAACCACCAGAGAGAACAATGTTAGAATACAAATCTTTACGTATGTCAACATCACATTTCATAATTGAATTAAAGGTGGTTTCATGCACGCCTGAACATTCTAGGCCTAAGAAATTGGGTTTAAACATTGCTTCAGGACACCGGAAACGTTCATTGCCAATTGTAATAACTTGACCATCTGGTAATTCATAACTTTTCTCTAATGATGAACTGTGTGCAGCTGTATTCATTTCTTGATCAAAATCCAAAGCAACATAACACAATTTCTCCTTGATGTCGCGTACAATTTCACGTTCAGCAGTAGTGGTAAACGAATGACCACGTTCAGTGAATATTTTCATGAGGTAGTCAGTTAGGTCACGACCAGCTAAGTCAAGACGAAGAATTGCATGTGGTAGAGCATAACCTTCATAAATAGGCACAGTATGACTTACACCATCTCCCGAGTCCATCACAATGCCTGTTGTCCGACCAGATGCATATAATGACAGAACGGCTTGAATAGCCACATACATAGCTGGACTGTTGAATGTTTCAAACATAATTTGTGTCATCTTTTCGCGATTCGCCTTAGGATTTAATGGAGCTTCAGTTAGTAGAACAGGGTGTTCTTCTGGAGCTACACGTAATTCATTGTAAAATGTATGATGCCATATCTTCTCCATATCATCCCAATTTGAAACAATTCCATGTTCAATAGGATACTTAAGTGTTAGAATTCCTCTTTTCGACTGAGCTTCATCACCAACATAACTGTCTTTCTGTCCCATACCAACCATAACACCTTGATGTCTTGGACGACCAACAATTGACGGGAATACAGCTCTTGGTGCATCATCACCAGCGAACCCAGCTTTACACATACCAGATCCATTATCAATAACAAGAGCATTTGCTTCATCTTCGTTTGCTGCCATGTTTAAATATACGTGTACAGGCAAAAGCAGTTGACTCAAATACTCAACAGAGAAATGTTTGATTAACTGTAATTACTAATAACTAGGTATTTATATATACGGTGATCTGATTTAAAAATTTAAGAACACATTTCGCTATCTCATGTGATACATTATGAATTCCTAGGTTGACTTTCTACTACATCATAAGTACCGAATAGTATTATGAATTAATAATTCACGGGATGGGTCAGCAATAACTTCGGCTGCTTCTATAAACCCATATCTTAAAAGCTAGATTAATGCTTGTATCCAAGGTCATTGTATTTAAAGATATACTATCATTAAATTATATTTGCTTCTAACAAAATGTTGATATTCGATGACAAATATCTTTGAAAATATCAGAACTCAATTTTAGCATCTCTTGTATTCTATGTATATTAAAATCAATTTTCCAGTGATAGACTATCACCAAGTTTTCAAGTGGATTACTTGTAGTAACATACAGAAAGTGCTATTCTATGTTAGTTTGTTTATTCAATGTAGCATAAAGTGACACAGTTTAATTTACTGGATAACGTTTCGAGTATAATTTATTCCTCATATCAAAGATAAACGACTTTCAAGCTTTCTTTATATAGTCCGGTGTTAATTTTTCTATATATCTTCAATATGTGAAGAGTCATTCCTATTGCATGTGTTAGGGAATGACTCAGTGGACAAGGAATCTGTGATCAATCTCTTCCTCTACCAAGCTATAATGAATTTTAGAACTGTCACCCTATAGTATGATTATGGATCAGTGCATGCAAAGCGATAGGCTATTTTTTTCGCCAAATTACTTATCTCAGTATGTTTCGCTAAACTTTTCTGCTCTGCTATTCTGACTGATCTAGATCGGCTCCTTTCACTCATAAACTTGACCTAACAACTATTACATGATATTTGATAGCTTAGTTTATTTTGTTTCATTGATTCTACTGGATCTTTTGGCCTACAAAGTTTCTCTCTGGGCGGGTTTACGGGTTCAAATGTCACCTTAATCCCACCCAGCATTGGTAAGGATTCTACATACAACTTCTAATCTGCCCTCTTTATACGGCAACACTACAGAGGATCTGAATTCCCTCTTAAGCATGTTGTTATCACCACTAAGATTACCACTCCTCCATGTTATTGGTCCTTATAAAATTTTAATAAATTCTGGAGGGTAACTATTGAAAAGTAATTTCTGTTTGATGCTTTACATTTCTTTATTTGGGTTTTCCAACTTACTGGTCAAACTCCTATCCTGATTACGTAGACATTTCACCAAGCGTACCTTGATAGATAAGGGATGAGACGATGGGAAATTCAGATATCCATTCTAATGTGCTGGTTTCCTATAACTACTAGTGTTTAAACCTGAACCTTCTGTTCTCTTGATTTCCTAGTTCAACGTAGGTTATTCTCCTTTTTCATTTTCTGATTCATAAGCAAACTGGACTACTTCTGTTTTCGAGTTTATGTGCGTGGTGTGTGTGTGTGTGTTGAAATCAGAGCATACCTAGAGTGTTTCCGAACGCATTTTCCCAACACACCTACACTCTAGCTGAATATTTCTACACTAATATACTATACAACTTGGAGTAGGTCAACATTGTTGTTCGGTAAACTGAACATTCTAATAATTACTGGCAACTCATAAAATGATATCGGCAATTAAAAGATTTGTGGGACTGAACTTTATGTAAAAGCTCTTTCCTGCGGTTTGGAGTAACTGCTTGAGTTTCATTATCTCAATTTGTAACAAGATAATATGTTGACCTATGCAAAACTACTTGTCACTATCTTATTGACATGGCAGTTCCGATACCCTAGCTATTAACAAATTATGAAGAAAGCAATGAATAACGACCTCTTAATCAGTTTCCTTCACTAAGAAAATAACGGTGAAAAGTTTTGTTGCATATACACATTTACAAGAATTTCTGTATGATGTCCAAAATGAAAAAGTTGAGATGCTTTTCATTACCAATTGACTATTAAGTCCTCAGCAAGAACTTGAAACTAGAGGCTGAAACAGTCTCACTGAATCGCAAATCTACGGAAGTCAATCAAACTGAACCATAGGTTCCTCATCCAGAAGCTGAATCGCGATATGCTCTTGGCGATATGCTCTTGACTTAGTTTCACTCAAGATCATGGATTCATGCTGCTAAAGAGTCTGAAAGTACAATGAGACAGCTGTTAGATGCTACCCAATTTTCCATGGTTTTCCAGCTACCATATATCCCCGATAAAAGCTACTCTGAAATTAGTCAGTCCGTATAATGATGATGATTGATGACGAAATAAAAATTTGGACCACTGTTGGATTCAAACCAAGGACAGGTCCAGCGCTGTACCAACTAAGCTACGAGGTTCGACTGCTGACAAGATTTTTATTTCACTTCAATCACCATCTACAATTTATATCTCTGATTTAGAAATTCACACCTGAATTAAATGTACACAAAAACTGAAACTTGAAATTAGTTAACCCCCATAAACATCCAAATTGGAAATGAAATAGTTGGCGCTGAGAATAAGGCGAAGAATTATCCTAGCAAAATATATCCACCGTTAAGACTTCACTGAAACAATTTTCATTTTTAAACACAGTAATCAGTTAAACAGTTCAAGGTCACTCTTGACTGACTCATAAACGTCTACTACTTTCTATAAAAATGAAAGTTAAACTGTGAGGTGAATTCAGAGACTACGGGTCACAATCTAGTTAAACATCTTGACCCTGGTTTGGGTATTTTTTTCATGTAAACATCTAAATACATAGTAATCTGTCTGAAGTCATTTTTCAGCATGTTCGTCTCAAAGTATCACAAGAAGATATTGGGGCAAATATATTCAGGAATGCGTGAATTAGGATAGTGTAAATCAAGTCTGGAGTAGTTCAAAAATGTGATAAACAGTTTGGAAAGTATTCACAAACTGCATTGTCTATGTTGATCTTCTACATAGTGTATTGATTCTTAAATCCTTCATAGTTAGTCTCAACAAGATTTTCGTTTGGAATCACTTCAATAAATTCACTAACTGTCTCTTCTAACACAAATTAGTGAAAAATTCACTGAATGCACCTTGCATGCTGTTCTGCAGGTTTTGCTAGCTTAAATCAAAGTGAGCTAAAGTTTGAATCTTCTATCCTGAAGGTTTATTGGTTCTTATAGAATGAAAAAATGTGGAGTCAATTAAAGTCTGATCAATAACTCTTACAACAACAATAAATTCATAGACAAGAAGAAGTCGAATGAGAAACCCTCATTCCCGGATAATTTAACTAATAGAACAAACATATGGGACTTGACTGTTCAAGTGTACAAGAAACTAACACATCCCGATCGGTAGTAGCAGTAGCCTAACAATGCACTAAACTAATTGTGTTTAGCCTTTATTCAAAAGAGCTGTCACATGAAGTAGTGCAACCAGCACTACTAACCCTAATGAAGAGAACCACTTGATAACTGCCCTAAAAAAGAATGGCTACCCATAGATTTCCCACTTGGGTTAGTTTATTTGATACCATACATGAGAATACAGCATTATTTACCGGATAGCGTTTTGAGAACAATTTATTGCTCATAAGAATTAGTCAAAATAATGCCGTACTATTGTGTGGCTTATTCAATAAACCACTCTAATATGAAATTTCACTCAAGCACTGTGTTCTAGTTTACTCTTACTTTACCCATGGAACTTTATCGAAAGATATTTGTCAAGCACATCAAACATATGTCCTTAATCAATATGTTTAAAAACAAAATGAAAACTTCCTAATTAAATTATCTAGCTTAGAGATTACCACACTTCGAAAAACGACCGAAAAAAGAAACAACAGTCTGATTTGTTTCGAATCAGGTCCATCAGGAAACCCCCATTCAAGGATTCACTCACTCTTCCCCAACTAAAAGCTTATGCAGATCACTTGTATGATCTCTGCCTTTTAATATTGTCTACGAGATAGTTAAATATAAATCAAAACCTTGGTAGCAAGCCAAGTGTTTGTGGCCTGCCTTGAAACACTTTGAAGAGGAAATAATTTGACAAGCTTCGAGTTTTACGACTATGTTTCAAATGTCGTGTTATCCACGAAGTATCATTCTTTCAGGTGCTTAGCTGTCTTTCAATTGTACATCTACTAGAAAAAATCATTACCAGTTATCCTTCAGCGCAACTTGTTGACTGAACACTGAAATATTCGATATTCCTTTTTCGGTAGAATAAAAGATTCACTTGAGATTACTGGCAGATGTACCAGCACATTTCTCGTGAAATGCGTGAAATGACCTGAATCATGTTTTTCAACTGATAACCGCAGAATATCACTAACGTGTATTTCTCAAAGTCACTGTAGCAACTGCCGTTGTTTGATGAAAAACTGCCATCCCAGCAGAAATAAAAAAATCTGATTGGTTACTTCAGCAGTTGCCTAAGTGACTTTTAGAGTCACTTATGACTGAAACCGTCAGGTGTTTCTGACTTTTCACACACTTCACTAACTGAAAATCATTTCACTTACCTCAGCTTTTCCTCGCCTAAAGTCACCAACTAATTTGGTCACAAGGCGAAACAATTGTAGAATGTTTGGAAGAGGTTTTTCTTTTCCTTTGACGACATTTGCATCTAATCCGTTTATACCGAAGAGTAGCATGTCCACAACGCAAAACAACTCAGAAACATACAGCAAACCATGTGGCCTACCAAATGATAGATGCCGCTTTCAGTCAGCTGACTATAACTTTGCAATGAAATGGGAAGAAGCAATGAATAACGAGTCTTTGGAAAGCTTGTAAAAGAATAATGCGGAATAACTTCCCAGTAAATTGTCTCTGAAAATAAATGCAATAATCGGCTAAAATGAATTTCTTCAAGTTTCCCAGTTTTCTTTCTTCAACCTACTGTAACAATTTTCAATCGTTTCATAAATTTTGTGATTTATCTATCATTTATGATTCCCTTCGACACATACAAACCTAATT